TTTTTTTTTTTTTTTTTTTTGTACATGTTATCAAAATATGTGATAAGAACTTTTTGAGATATCTTGTCCACAAACGAATGTCAATGAAAACAACCTACTTCATTGGTTGAAGCAATTGTGTCAGGTTTTATTAATGGCTGTTATTTTCCCAGGAGTTTGTCCCGAGGAGATGGAGAGGCTCCTGAGGATGGGGAGGGTGCTGTCAACACAGCCATGGGGGCACTGCAAGCAGATGGAACACTAGCAGCAGCAGATGATGGAAAGAAGAAGAAAAAGAAGAAGAAGAAGAAGTTGACAAAATCTGAAAGGGCTGCAGTGAGTATTTTTTGTCAGAGCTTTCAAATTAAATTGAATTGGACACTGTGTGTGGGGGGGTTTGATGGCTAAAAATACATGCAAGCAGGTTATTTGCACTCCCTGTGGTACTCACCTAGACGCTGACTTGAAAAAGATCTTCTGAAAGACTGGGAGAAAGGAATCACTTTTTTTAAGTGTCTGTTTATTTGCATTATAATCTATAAACCTGTTTTAGAGTTCTAAGCTTCGAGGTTGTCACTTTTGAGATAGAGATAGAGACCATTACATTTTACTTGAAGTCAACTGCAGCTCAGGTCACAAGACCAATTTAAGTTTCCTCAACCCACTCTTGAGGCTTTTTTAACAAACTCACATTTTCCTTTACAGCTGAAGTTAGAGAAAGCCATCAATGCTTACATGTCGCAGGAAGAGCACTACCGTAACTTCATAGACACCATCCACAATTGGCTCACGGATAAAAAGAACGCCGAGAAGATGACACAGCTGTTTGCATATTATGACACAAGAGGAGAGAATCACGTCACTTATGATGAATTTAAAGCAGGTGAGTATACAGATAAAGATGTAAGTCATATTGAATATTTTATCCAACTGAAATGTGGTTTACACTATAGTTATACCCTGTTAAAGCAATCTATATTTGACTTGTATTTAACTATTTAAGGTAACTAAATGTCTCATAGTAACACCATCTTCTCCAATCATTCAAATGATGTGTCCTAACACTTTTTAAATTTCAGCTGGGTCTGGTCAAAATGTATTGTCATTGCCACTGCTTTTTTAAAGACATAGTTAAATAGTAGCATAGATGCTACAAGCATGCCATATTCAACCCTTTTGTTGTACTGTAGTTATCATGCACTAAACTAGCTTCACATTGATACAAAAAATTCGCTTCCTATTCCTTTTCATGTACAACATGGCAAAGCTTTAAAGAGAATTTTGACAATGGATATGAGATGTGCTTGCATATGTGATGTGCAGCATATAACCCAACATAACCACTTGACATTCCTTTTTATGATGGTTTGGATAAAATCACTGACAAATTTGTATTTTGAAAAAAAAAAAAAACCTGTAAATTTATGTTACAACTTGCCTTAATCTCCTCGTATTTTCAGGTATGCGTGACCTTAATATTCCGTGCAATGTATTAGAACTTCACATCTTGGCCAAGCTCTTGGATAAAGAGGATATAGAAGAAATTGACTACACCATGCTCCCTAAAGGACTGTCCTTTATTAGGTTTGTATTTCACATCTAGTGAATAGATTTAAGTTCTAGGTAATGGAATTGACTTGATTATATACCAGTTTTGTTCAGCAATAACAGTCAGATTTTTGATAAATGTTTTAAAAATAATTTTAATTATCACTTTTAAATATTTCAAGTACTACGTGGAAAACTGTAAAATGTACATCTTAACCTTCAGGGAAGCAATGGATGATGATTCAGATTCTGAATCAGAGGAAGAAGAAGCAGAAGTCACAGAGACCCCAGTGGAGGGAAATGTGAAACCCCTAAACACAACGCCTATGCAACTGCTCCTAGGGCAGACACCCCAAGACAAGCCTACGCAAGAGGAGACTGACACACAGAAATATGAAAAGATTAAGTTAATCATGAGTCAGAGGAAGCTGCCTGCCTGTTCAGGATGCAAGCTGGGCATATCAGAACCATACAAGCCAAAGAAATCTAAGTAAGTGATTGAAAATGAACCAAGTTATTTGCATTGAAGGCAGAAGCACTGTCTAATAAGTTTTCTCAACCCATTTTTCATTCCATATTTTATGATGCATTCTGCTAATTATGTACCAATTTTTTAATTAAATGCATGGGTACCTTAACACATGATCATGGCTCTAAGGTTTAAATAATTTAATGCTGTTAAGATATGCAAGCAAATGGGGAGAACTGAATGAAATGTTTACTATGCTCAAAAAGTGAAAATGTCAGTGTGAAAGGTGAAAGTACATATAGCAAAGGTGAAGGATAAATGATTTGTCATTCTCTTTCAATCATTAATTTATTTTACCATTTAGGTACATACAGCTGGAACTGAAGCTAGCCACCTTTGCAAATCTGAACAAACCCCTTCCCCTGAATTTAATCAAGTTGCTCCCTGCCCACACAACTGTAGCTGGTCTGATCAGTTTGGTGGTAAGTGAGCTTCACGTCTCTTCCTCCACCATCGCCATTTTCAGGGACACATCCAGAGATCCTGAGATGGCGCTGGATCCCAGTACGACGCTGGAGGAAAATGGCTACCTTGGTGGCAGTTACGACTCACCTCAGCTCTTGACTCTGTATTATGATTATATCGTGGAGTTCAGAGATTGCCCGTTATTAATGTGTGATCACTATATGAGGAAAGTTCCCATTGAACAGATTATGAAGTCCATAAAGAGGTAATGGACGTTGATAACAATGTTCAGTTTTTCATTGCAATATATTTAAAGAATCATCGTA